TAATAATAATAATAATAATAAGATATATTGGTAGTTATTATTGTTGTTGTTGTTGCTGTTGTCATTATTGTTGGTAATAACTTCTGACTACTATTTATTATATAACTTTGTGATTACTCCTATATACCTACTACAAGTCCATAAAATATGTTCAGCTATAGACAGTTCAAATTTGCTCCTCTTTGGTAACAAAGTAATGAATATAATCAAGCCAATACTGGTATATTATTAATATTATTATAATACCTCTACTGAATATGTTCGGCAGTAGATATTTAGACTTTACTGTAATCAATAATCCATACAGTCACACCTCTTGAATTGAACTGAAGAGAAATGATAAGAGAGACTCAGGAAGAGATTTAACTAGACATTGCTTTATGTTTTATGATCTTATAGATTCATGTCTAAAAATATCCAATAAAAACTTTCACCAACACAAAGCTACATTCCAGGCCACTCCCTCTCTCCTGACTGCCTTTTGCAGTAAAGAGCAGCTCTGCTTTGGCATGTACAGAAAAGGGAAGGGCAGAGGGGGGGGGGAGTTATTAGCTAGTCATCTGCTGTGATCACTGGAACAATCCCATTGTGAAGCCAGAGGTGGGTAGTACTTAGGCTACATTCATTCAATTCTATGTAATGAAGAAGTAAATTTGTGATAAATTTATGAATGATAAATACTTTTACTTCAATTTAAGTATATTTGTGTGGATTTTTTTTTCTCATTCCATTTTAGTCATTAGCATTCAGTTCCAAATTCCTTTTATGGGTTAATGTCGTTCTCTTGTGTTGACTCAGCTTCTGGGCCTTAGCATTTTATTTCAGACCAAAAAGGGCACAAAAGAAGGAAAACAGAACCCAACAAATTTCAGTTCATTACTGACAGATTCTCTAAGTTCCCGTGCAATTCTACAGGAAACTAAGGATTTGAGATGGACCTGAGATTTTTTTGTTGTAGCTACTTTGACCTCTGCTTTAGTAAAATAACTAAATTAACACTACCTTTACTGCGGAATGGGTTCAGGCTTCTCTGTCTGTAGCTTGCCCAGGCAAATAAATAACAGTTTGGACGGAGGTCTTCCCACACTCCTTCATATACTAAACCTTTCCATCTTCACAGACACCGTTTAATTCCTTCTGCTGCTCCAACATAAACACTTTACATTACACACTGCGCTTACATTCTTAAATTTAGCTCCACTCTGTGTCCTAGCAGTAAGAGTTTGATTTAAAGTTTAAACTTAACTTACGTATAACTGCAGAAGATGGGCGCATTCTTCGTGCAGTAGCCGGGCAATAGCTGCTGCTTTCCCAGTTTGGCCTCCAGATCTCTGCCTTCCAGCCATCTACTCTCTTTCTTCTAATTAAAACAGCTCAAGGTAACCTGGCCTGCTAGAACAAGTACTCTTGGCTTAAAGACATATTTCATGATTTCCATTACTCGTCCTGTGGTGGACGGTGAGCTTTTGTTAACGACGGAAAAAACGTTCTTTACGTAAAGTTAATGAATTAGGGAGACTACTTATGTTTCGGACGTTCACCGGTTAAAATATCATAGTCCGAGCTGCTCAAGCCCTTTCTGAGAAAACAACCCCTAAGCCTTGGAGGCGGGACTGTGTAGAATTTACAGGGCTGGACCAAAAATGGACGAATTGTTCTTTTGAACCAGTTCGTCTCAATGATTCATTTGAACCGATTCACAGGTTCAACAGAGTCGAACTGTTTGCAGCCTCTACAAAATGGTTAAACCAAGGGTGCTCAACCTTTTCCACCCCAGGTACCACCTATATATTACTAGAAAGTCCACAGAAAAAATGCTTTAAAAATATTTTAGGGAAAATTTCAACTTTTGGGAGCCTCAATATGCAATTCGTATCAATGAACATAAAATACCAATACCCTGCTGGAAACTAACCGCTTAGACCAGCATGAATTCCATGCTGGTGAAAGCTGGCTTATGGTCTGATACTGGTCTGGTGTAGGTTTAACTGGTCACCTAGCATAATCATGCTGGTTGATCAGCATACCAGCACACAAAACACAACATCCCTACTGAAAAAACAAAACAAAACATAGAGACCATTAAGTGTTTCTTTTGGGTCCTGGCGGTTTTGTAATGTGTTTGGCTTTTTAATGGGTTGATATCAGAATGTAAAGGATCCTAATGGTTTAACAGGTGACCAGTGACTGATTCTAAATGCAGTTGATGGTTTACTAATGGGATCTAAAGGTATTCTACAGGAAACAAGTGGTCTCTATTGGAAATCATTATTCCAATTCCCATTAGAAAGCAAAACCATTAGGTTTTAATCCTAATGGTTTATAATGGCTCTTTTTCAACAGGGATATGCTGGTTTTGGTGGTGATCAGTCTGTGCTGTTTTTTTTCTTTCAGGGTAGGTTAGCATAAGCTAAATTAAGCAACATTTTTCACTTACAAATGGACAGTTGGGACTTTGGGAAACCTTTTGTGCATAGTTGCTGCATGGCTTGTATTGTTTACTGTTTGAAAACATTTTATGTTTGTTTCTTATTATTAAGTAAATTATTTGTTAACTATTTTTTAAATCAAACTGCCATCTACCTCTATGGGCCACTGGCTCCTCTTCTGCCAGTAATGCAGGCAGAACTATCGTAGCCTCATAAAATATCTTTTTTTTTAACTCAAAGTACCAAAAATGAGAGAATGTATATTTTGAACCGGTTGGTTGCAGTGAAATGTTTAAACTGATTTCAAGTTGTTCATCTAAACTGAAGCAAACCCTTTGTCCGTGCTGTCAAAGCAGATCACTTCCAGTCCACAGCTCTGCAAAGAATAGCATTTGGCCTCTTCTAACCCTCTGAATAAAACCCACAAAGGCCTTGCTAATTAGCTGATGAGTTGACAAGAACAAATTAATATTTTTTTTTATTGAACGTTCAATACAATCCTGTCCAGCTTGAACTTCTGGTATTGTCAGCGCACTGATTTTGCAGTTGCGTAGGCTGAAACATGAAAATGTAACAAAAACACAGGGTAATAATACATAACCTGGCCACACATATGTAGATATGTAATCAAATAAAAAAACAAATTACCCCAGGTTTGTTTATTTACAATAAACAAGTGCGAGCAACTGTGTTGAAGTCAGTTGTGTATTCATTATTTTAGCTGGGCAAAATGCCAAAAGTTCACATTTCAAGGCCTGCGTTAAAGTTGAATGGAAATTGTGCTTTCCCTCTGACTTACACTCTGGAACATTCCCCTGCAGGATTAGAAACAGTTCCAGCTGGGGTGGAAATCTTGCTCAAACATGAACCAAATTCATTAACATCAACAGAGAAATTCATGAAAATATTGTTGTGTTTACTAAAATTGCCTCAAACATAGAATTCTAATATTACGAATATTAATTCAGCCTTGTTAGAGTTATGAAACAGTTCTACTTTCGCTAAGTAAAAGGTGCAGGTCTGGGGGTTCATGGACATAGAGTATTGTAAGTGGGAGTGTCGGTGCTGACGTTCGTAATTTTCTCTATGGTACATTTCTTATAGTAGCTACGGGTTTTCAATGGTAACAGAGACTTATTCTCATAGATTTATTTCTCATTGTCTCAGTGACAGACTGTTTTTTCCCTGATCTCTTATATCTTCAGATTAGTGGTATAGTCTTAGACTCTGTTCATATTGCTCGGGTTATTGTTCTGCTATCCAGTGTCAACCAGAGGAGAATGAGTTCCCTTTTTCAGTCAGAATTTTTTTCTGTAAAGCTGTTTTGTGACAATGCCTGTTGTAAAAAGCGCTACATAAGTAAACTTCGATTTAACTTGGCACTTAGTTCTATGTAGTTAAGTACAATTTTCACAAATATGTGTCCATATTTTTATATGATATTTTTTTTGTTCTGCTTCTATATTCTGGCATCCATCTGTGTTCCACCATGTTCTATGTTTACCACCCTGTATGTGTTCCACCATGTTCTACATCTATTTTCCTGTATGTGTTCCACCATATTCTATATCTACCATGCTGTGTGCACCACATTCTATATTTGCAATCCTATACATGTCCCACCCTGTTCTATAACTCCGTCTTGTATGTGTTTCACCATGTTCTATAACACAATATCTAATATCTGTCCTTTTCTGTATTTTTGTTCTGTAGTCTTTCAGGACTTATGTGTGACACCCTGGACAACAGCCAACTCACTCCCACAATTCATGCCCATGTGCTGTGGATTTGATTTCTTTTTCTTGGTACATACACAAGCTCCACTATGTGGAGTAACCTAGAGTCCTTTTTGCTGCTTCTCTTGTAGATTGTAAAGTTTATATCTCGATCTATAATACTGCTGGACAGTAATGAAAGTTAATATTGTCAATATCTGCTGCTGACAACGCCCCTCCTCGACAGCAGAGGTCACTCTTGCCTGAATACAAGTTCAGGTCCTGCACTGAGTTTAATCAGAGGCCAGAATCCATTTTATGTGGTATACCCTGCGTTTTTCAACTATGTCTTGTGAAGTCTCATTTGGTTATCAATGGTTGCAATTTTGAGCTGTGTCCTCTTGTAGCCTTATAGGTTTTTTTGAAATCTGTATATGGTATCTTGACTACGATTTCTGTCTAGTGTTTTTTGGGACTGTCTACTATTGTTCCATTTTGATATGGTTGGCCTTTCCTGACTGTTTTGCTCCATTCTCTTGATCTTGCCCTCAGTGAACTTGCACTTGTACGGAGCCCCGCTGGTGACATCCTATATAAATAAAAATAATGTGTGGCCACGCCTTCTTAACGCGTGGGAACGAGATCCTAATGTGTGGCCACGACTTAGTAAGGCGTGGGAACGAGATGATTAAGTCGTGGTCATGACTTAGTACGGCGTGGGAACGAGATCACGGCTTACCAAGTCATGGCCACGCATTAGGATCTCGTTCCCACGCTTTACTAAGTCGTGGCCAATGACTTAATCATCTCATTCCCATGCCTTACTAAGTCGTGGCCACGCATTATTTTTATTTATACAGGATGTCACCAGTGGGGCTCCGTACACTTGACCCCTACCGGGTGTGAGACTCTACATGACACATATGCGTCTCTCAACAGCAAACCAGCATATGTCAGCACTATAAAAAACAGCCTAAACCAGCTTAGACCATCATGGAAATCATGCTTGTCTGTCCTGTTTTATTCATCAGTGTCTTTCAGGCTGAATTTGAAGGCACTGTCAATATAGCATTCGTATTTAATAACATTCATATCGCTATAGTATGCACACTATTAAGTGTGCATTTCTGGAAAGCTGTTCTAAGACAGTATCTGTTGTAGAAAGAAACACAGATAAAACTAAATATCACGGCAAAACAGTACCACTCCATGTCTTACCGTGGCGCAGTAGCTTCTTCGTTTACAGGGCAGAAAAGAAGAAGCGCAAACACTTCCAGCCGAGATAGCGAATTGTTATAGTGGGTTTTTAATCAGAACTAATTTAAATAATCCCTTTTTGCTTGGTTAAGCCGACTGACACGTCGTATGGTACACGTTAGATAAATCCTAGCTATATATAATTTTTAAGCTATTTGGCTTCAGCCAGTATTAAAACTAACTTAATGGAGGTGAAGTCGCTGGTTGGTTATGGAGTGTCATCTGATTCAGAGGAAGAGGATGAAGGAGAAAGCAGTATACAGTAAGTAGAGTGTAGACCCATTTAACTATGCTTGCTATTAAATAGGGTGCCTTTGGATATGATGCATTACTTGTTTTTTGATGTGTAAACAAAAATCTAACTGACCTCTACTTATATAAAAGCACCATTCACTACTGTGCAAAATAAAAAGAAAAGGAATATGAATATCTACTTACTTCAGAACTGAAATGCTGCGAATGATGAAATGCTACAGTATTACTTCCACAGCTTTTTCTATAAAGGCTACAAAAACTAATTGTTAATATTTGGTTAAATTACTCCTCCCCAGGTTGGAGATCAGGGTTCAATTCCAGCGCAGAGAAGCACTTGTTAGGTTTCCAGCGGTTAGTGCCAACAATGTCATGACCTTACTAATGGGTTTATACACCCATTTGCTTATCATCAAAAGGGTAGCTAAGCAAAGAATATAACGTATTATTCTTAATTTCAGAGAGAGACAGAAAAAAACTGAAAAACAGAGTGGAGTAACTTTTATTTAGTTTGTTTCTTAGGACTAGGAGGCTTTACCAAGTTTATAACTTGTTAAAATGTCACAGACAGTGTTTTTAGCCATTTCTATAGCCCTGGTTGGTTAAAGGCTAGCAGAGGTGTGGTGAGCACAAGCAACAACTGTAGTGAAGACTTTACATGCAGCTTATTTCACAGAAAGCAGAAATAATATGAAGCAACTATACTTCAGTGCTGTGTCCTCTTGTAGCCTTATAGGTTTTTTGAAATCTGTATATGGTATCTTGACTATGATTTCTGTCTAGTGTTTTTTGGGACTGTCTACTATTGTTCCATTTTGATATGGTTGGCCTTTCCTGACTGTTTTGCTCCATTCTCTTGATCTTGCCCTCAGTAAACTTGCACTTGTACGGAGCCCCGCTGGTGACATCCTATATAAATAAAAATAATGTGTGGCCACGCCTTCTTAACGCGTGGGAACGAGATCCTAATGTGTGGCCACGACTTAGTAAGGCGTGGGAACGAGATCACGGCTTACCAAGTCATGGCCACGCATTAGGATCTCGTTCCCACGCTTTACTAAGTCGTGGCCAATGACTTAATCATCTCATTCCCATGCCTTACTAAGTCGTGGCCACGCATTATTTTTATTTATACAGGATGTCACCAGTGGGGCTCCGTACACTTGACCCCTACCGGGTGTGAGACTCTACATGACACATATGCGTCTCTCAACAGCAAACCAGCATATGTCAGCACTATAAAAAACAGCCTAAACCAGCTTAGACCATCATGGAAATCATGCTTGTCTGTCCTGTTTTATTCATCAGTGTCTTTCAGGCTGAATTTGAAGGCACTGTCAATATAGCATTCGTATTTAATAACATTCATATCGCTATAGTATGCACACTATTAAGTGTGCATTTCTGGAAAGCTGTTCTAAGACAGTATCTGTTGTAGAAAGAAACACAGATAAAACTAAATATCACGGCAAAACAGTACCACTCCATGTCTTACCGTGGCGCAGTAGCTTCTTCGTTTACAGGGCAGAAAAGAAGAAGCGCAAACACATCCAGCCGAGATAGCGAATTGTTATAGTGGGTTTTTAATCAGAACTAATTTAAATAATCCCTTTTTGCTTGGTTAAGCCGACTGACACGTCGTATGGTACACGTTAGATAAATCCTAGCTATATATAATTTTTAAGCTATTTGGCTTCAGCCAGTATTAAAACTAACTTAATGGAGGTGAAGTCGCTGGTTGGTTATGGAGTGTCATCTGATTCAGAGGAAGAGGATGAAGGAGAAAGCAGTATACAGTAAGTAGAGTGTAGACCCATTTAACCTGTAAATTAATCTAATTTAACAACGATGCTCCTGCTGTCCCCATACCCGGCCGTTTTACTTACCAACTGAAATCAGCTTAATCCCAAATAACTCCATGGAGTACATTAATTCAGTTCAATTAAACTTAAATTTGTATTTTTTAACAAAGCACCTATATACGTTAGTGCACTGCAGAGGGAATAGAAATTAGCACATCACACAACTTATAGTTAATATGTTAATGGCACTGGGAAATATCTGTTCAAAATTTGACTTGTAAAATGTGTTTTTATTTAAAAATGGTATTCAGTAACCAATATGAATTCAGTATCGACTATGAAAAATGTAAGTTGTGCAGTTATAAGAGTGAGGGTCCATACATACCCCACATAGAACTCCTTTATAGAGTGTAAAGAGTGAGATTTGGCCAGGACCCACTGGCCGGCCCAAAGTTTTATTACACACTTCTATAACCTAAGAATAGTTTAGCCAATTCGCATTGAAATTCCTGTGGTTACTGAATAATTAGTCTTAGTATGTGATAAGCTTAGGTTTTAAGGGGTTAGGCTTTGTAGCAGATACTTGGTACAGTTTGTAATAATACATGAATGTCTGTACAGGACAGAGAAGGAAAAAGAGGCAGAGGCAGAAGGTGAGAGGAAAATTCAGAACTTCCAGCAGGAGTCGGTGTCAGCAGCCACTGCATCCAGTTCTGAGTCAGAGAGAGAAGAGGACCAAGAGAAACCTGCTGAAGCTGTTTACCCTGGAGTTTTAAACTCAAAGACTCCTTCACCCTTCAGTGCCTTCACTCATAAACTGACCCCTCCTCCACTGGGCGGAGGCAGCTTAGGTGGATTTTCAGCTGGCAGCAGTGTGTTTGCTAACCCCTTTAAAGAGAGAGCAGAAGCGAGGCTGAATGTGCTACGGAAACACGTCCCCCTCACACTGCAGGCCCGGCCGATCCAAATTGGCGGGAAAAGGATCTGTGTAGCATACAGAAAAAACGGCCGCTGTTGTTTTGGAATCCGCTGTAAATTTGCCCATGATAGCGATCTGCAGAGCAGCACAGGCTTTCCCACTGAACCAGCAGGCTCTGATATTAGACCACTGGACCAAACTAAGTCCAATCCTGACTACTTACGCACTTCGGACTACGGGACTTCTGCTTTGGAGAGGGGTAAGGAAGAGGAGGAGGAGGAGGAGGAGAGTCGTAAGAGGAAAAAGCACAGGGTCGGATTCAGTGATACGCTCATTCCCCCAAAACGGATGCTAAAACAGTATGCCATGCAGAAGAACAAACTGTAAGACCCCTGGCCCTTTGGAGAATGGGATTTTACAATCACCAGTTTTTTAGGTACACTTGTACCTTCACTTATTGGCCATTATATCAGCAACATCTAGTAGGTTTATAATTACAGACTGTAGCTCATCTGTTGTTGCAGTTTATCCATCCATGAAAAAGGCTGTTTAAAGAGATTGAAATACAGTCATCACAGCCTTGTAAGAGAAAGCATTTCTGAAAATCACAAAAATTAGAAAGCCCTCCCTTGTAGGTCCATCTTGCTAATGAACAGTTAGACAGAACTGCTCTGGATTTTTGACACCAAACATTGTCTTAGCTATGCTGAGAATGATCCACCTCCCACATATCTGGTCAGTAGTGGTCTTATACTGGGACGGATTGGGTAGAGATGGGATACAGTAATCAAGACCTACTAAGTGCACGTATTAGGGCTGTACAATATTGACATAAAATGTGATGTTTAATAAAGCTGTTAAATATCATCATGATAAGAGAAGGGATAAATTGCTATTAAATAGTGTGCCTTTGGATATGATGCAAGTACTTGTTTTTTGATGTGTAAACAAAAATCTAACTGACCTCTACTTATACAAAAGCACCATTCACTACTGTGCAAAATAAAAAGAAAAGGAATATGAATATCTACTTACTTCAGAACTGAAATGCTGGGAATGATGAAATGCTACAGTATTACTTCCACAGCTTTTTCTATAAAGGCTACAAAAACTAATTGTTAATATTTGGTTAAATTACTCCTCCCCAGGTTGGAGATCAGGGTTCAATTCCAGCGCAGAGAAGCACTTGTTAGGTTTCCAGCGGTTAGTGCCAACAATGTCATGACCTTACTAATGGGTTTATACACCCATTTGCTTATCATCAAAAGGGTAGCTAAGCAAAGCATATAACGTATTATTCTTACTTTCAGAGAGAGACAGAAAAAAACTGAAAAACAGAGTGGAGTAACTTTTATTTAGTTTGTTTCTTAGGACTAGGAGGCTTTTTTTTTTAAGTTTATAACTTGTTAAAATGTCACAGACAGTGTTTTTAGCCATTTCTATAGCCCTGGTTGGTTAAATGCTAGCAGAGGTGTGGTGAGCACAAGCAACAACTGTAGTGAAGACTTTACATGCAGCTTATTTCACAGAAAGCAGAAATAATATGAAGCAACTATACTTCAGTGCTGTAGTTCTTAAAATTCCTCACCAAACCTCTGTGGCACCATCTTACTGCTTAAACGTTTCTCCTCAGGTAAATCTAAAAACAAGACGTTAGTACTGACAGACTTGTTTTTCATTATTGAAAATGTCTGGGTACATCTAAATACCTTTTGGCTAGTGAGTTAATTTCTGTAATTCACAACTGTCTGATTAAAAAGGATGTGATTCTGGGTTTAAGGCAAAAGTCCAGAATTTTGCCTTAAATGTACCACGAAAAGAAAGAAGTGTTGCTGTAATAAATACCCCCATTAACTATGAAATAGGAATACAGTTATTCTATTAGTGGCCTGTTAAGGTGTTTGTGTGAATGTATGTACATACAATAAGTGGAGCTGATAAAATGCGTAGAACGTAGAAACAAGGAGGTGGTCATAATGTTATGCCTGATTGGGGTGTTTTATTTATATATATATATATATAAACTATACTATAGTATAGTTTTACTATATAGGTGCACTTTGTAGTTCTACAATTACAAACTGTAGTCCATCTGTTTCTCTGCATACTTTTACCCTGTACTTCAGTGGTCAGGACCCCCATGGACCCTCACAGAGCAGGTACTATTTGGGTGGTGGATCATTCTCAGCACTGCAGTAACACTGATGTGGTGGTGTTAGTGTGTGTTGCGCTCGTTTGAGTGGATCAGACACAGCAGTGCTGCTGGAGTTTTTAAACACTATGTCCACTCTAGTAGACACTCTTGTCAGTCCACCTTGTAGATGTAAAGTCAGAGACGATAGCTCATCTGCTTCTACACAGTTTGGGTTGGTCATTCTCTAGTCCTTCATCAGTGGTCACAGGACGCTGTTGGCTGGAAGTGTTTTTAAACACCTCAGTGTCACTCAGTGGACTGAGAATAGTCCACCAACCAAAAATATCCAGCCAACAGCATCCTGTGACCACTGATGAAGGACTAGAGAATGACCAACACAAACTGTAACCTGCTCTGTGAGGGTCCACTGGCGTCCTGACCACTGAAGAACAGGGTAAAAGGGGGCTAACAAAGTATGCAGAGAAACAGATGGACTACAGTCTGTAATTGTAGAACTACAAAGTGCACCTATATAGTAAGTGGAGCTGATAAAATGGGCAGTGAGCATAGTAACAAGGAGGTGGTCAATGTTACGCCTGATCAGTGTATATGTACATACATACATACATACATACATACTCACTCACTCTCCTCGCCAAAAAAAATAGGGCCCAAAATAATTTTTTTTTCCCTGATGATTTTGGCCTGGTCAGAGTCCAGATTTAAACCCTATAGAGAATATTTGGTCTCACATAAAACACAAACTAGCTCAGCGATGTTTTTCAACTGTTTGAAAAGTGGAAAAAGTCTTCTTTCTGTAAAAGGTCATCTGCAAATTTCACACAGAACTTCAGTATTTAAAGAAATGAAAAAGGAAAAGCAATCTCCTCAAGTTACTTTATTTCTTTAATGATTTGTTGTTAGCCTATTTTTTTGGCCAAGGAGTGTGTGTGTGGGTGTAATATATATATATATATATATATATATATATATATATATATATATATATATATATATATATATATGCAGTGTTCAGAGAAAAAGAACTGGGTGGAACTAAAACACGCTGGAACAAGAAAAAAGTAATATTTTTAAGGGACTAAAACTGTATTATGTACAAAAAGCAACAACTCAAAACACACCTTTTTTTTCCTTGATTACATACACTTCTACAAACCTACCAAACGTTTATATGTGAATACATACAATATATTTATGATCCTATATTTTTAACTTTTGTGGGGAGGTTATACTGAGGAGGCTGAAATACACTAGGCAGTCTTCTGACTTTTTCCTCCATTATTATTATAAAGTGAACTTCATTTCGCTACATCAGTCCATGCTGGATCTGCCCTTCTGAGCTGTCCGTCATAACCTGCTCTTGGCTTTCTCCAGCTGCCTCCCAAACCCCACCCACATTTCCGTTCTCTTCAGGGCCCTTGCCTTCCCAGACAGCTCTGCCCTCTCTTGTGGCAGTGGGAGGAACGTGGGGAGGAGAAGCTGACGATGGTGGAGGAGGTTCAGTTGAGAAACCTAGAGTTCCTCTGCAGTCAGAAGAGGAGGTTTCAGGCAGGTTCTGGGTGAGACTAGAGCCTGTGGAGACAGGGCTAGAGCTAGGGTTAGGAGCTCTAACTATGGCTTGGCTTTGATGTGGTAGCTGCTGGGCCACAGAGAGCAGGGGCAACTGCTGGATCTGCTGCTGATGTGGAACAGCTCTGAATGTCATGTGAAGAATCTGCGGCTGCGTGGGATATGACTGCACGGGTAATGGCTGCACGAGAGTGGCCTGTTGAGTGACTGAGTGTTGAAGGGGCAGCTGCTGTACCTGGGGCTGCTGCTGTTGCTGGGAAACAGGTGTGGTGACAAAATGCAACGGCAGAGCCTGCAGGGTGTGCGTGGAAACTGAGTGTGAAGACCCAGTTCCGCTTCCTAGCTCTTCCTCCGCAGTGGGCAGGGCCAAAGTAACAGGAACCTGCATGTTAGGAAGAGAATGGTCTGGATCTACCACAACCACAGGGCCTACGTGACCAACTTGTGCCAGAGAACCCACTTGGCTCACCGGCACCTGCACAGAGCCCAGCTGTACCTCCTGCATCTGCTCTGTCCGTAGGGCCCCTGTGGGGGCCTCCAGCAAAGCTCCTGGAGTGGTGATGAGGGCACCAGCATTTGCTGCCAAAGCCTCCGCAATCAGAACTTCTGGGTGGCTCTTGGCCTTGTGTGCTACCACACTGTCCTTCTTCTCAAACTTCTTGCCACAGATGCTGCAGGAGAACTGGTAGGAGGCATCCGCATCGTGCTTCTTCATGTGCCAGTTCAGGGATGCCTTCTGGCGGCAGGTGAAGCCACATATCTCACACCTAGGGGGGAGAAGGAGAAAAAGTGACTTAAGGGTGAGTTAGTGATTTCACAAAGAACCAATTAACTAAATAAATAACTAACTAAATAAATAAATAATTATCTGCTGCCGGCAGTGTATTACAAAAATTCACCCGTCCCACAAGACCCACTTGTGTTGTGAGCCATATTTGTACTCATTCTCCGAAAGCTAACAGATATGGACGGAATGGAGCAGTGCCGGAAGTCAGCAGGGGGCAGTGTAACCAACAGTTCACGCCAGACACAATGTCAATTTCTCTTATCGGTAATATAAGTGAAAAGAATTCTCCGTCCACACGACCACCACTGTCTACACTGGTGCCTCTTGCGTCTTTTTCGTAATTGGTACATTATTATGACCTCCTCGTCGCCATGTTTGTTGTTGTCAGAAACTTTTTACTAGTAGTTGTTCTAGTAGTTGATGCACTGCTCAACATCCATGCTACGTGGGCAGTGATAGTTACACCATTTGAAATGGACGTGTTCTTTTTCGAATGTAAAGGGAGTATAAATCCTCTACAAGTCTTTACAATGGCCTGCACAACAACCTCAACCTCAAATGACAGGTTTTTTTTTTTTTTTTATCATTACCTGATATTGTCTTTAATGGCATGTAAGTTTTATCTAATGTCTTATTCAGAATGTTTGTAGTGACCTGCCAAAAGTATTTGCCAGGCATTTTAAAACATAACTGCTGAACATACTGTTTTATAAGCCTACAATTTTTTACACTTTTAATTATTTTTATCTATTACCAACATTACAGCACAAAATGTAACTTCTCTATGGTCCAACAGCATGTTGCTTGTATTTAGCACTATCATCTGTTCAATCACATGCATGTATTTTTGAAGTATTTTAGTTACAAAATATAGAGTAATGTAGCATACCTACCTTCTTTATTTGTATTTAGATTTTTTGACACTCAGTCCACTGCAGACATTTTACTGGCGTTGGCCGTAGTAAAAAATTTAATTTATTAATTAAATTGATTTTACACAACATGGTTTAGTTAAACAGTGTTCCCAGAGGGAAGCCAAGGCATTTTGTGGTGTGTGTGTGTGTGTGTATGAGACACTGTAGCAGGGGACAAACTCACTGCAGAGGTTTTTCTCCTGTGTGGATCATGCGGTGAACAGCCAGGTTATGGGAACTTTTAAAAGCACGAGCACAGAATTCACAGATGTAGTCCCGTTGATCTGCAATGCACAGTTCAGCATGTTCACCATTAATGGGCCAGACAGCAAGTTTAAGTTACATAAGCCAAAAATTCAAGTGAAGTACACAGTCTTTAAATGACTATTTAAATACACATAACCTAATAGCATTTTTTGAGTGTGTGTGTGTGTGTGTGTGTGTGTGTGTGTGTGTGTGTGTGTGTGTGTGTGTGTGTGTGTGTATGTACAACTGTTGTCGTACCTGTATGGTGTTTGGCATGGCGCAGTAACTGTTTCTGGAGCCGAAACAGTCTGCCACAGGAGGGGTGCGGACACACATACTTCTTCTTCATTAAGTGCTGGTATTTAATATGATGCTATAAGAAGGAGAGAAGAAGAAAAAGTGTTCACTCTCAGAGGTTACTATTAAAGGGTACTGTTGAAATAATGTAAACGTTAAAGCATTGACAACTACAAATAATATCAGCCTTTCTCAAGAAAAGCTTTGGAAATAGTTAAATGAACATACTGACTTACATAAAGTCACTATTTGTCGTATTGATATTATTTGTATTTATTGTAATATTTGAACAATTACTGACCAAATAAGCAGCTTTTAAATCTAATTTAGGTGCCTGAAGCTTTTGCACAGTACTGTAGTTAGCCATCCCACTGAAATGGTATGTAAGATGAAAAGCAAAACACTGACCGAGTTTAAGAAGTGATGAGAACTGGATTTCTTTCAGTACTGCTGGAGCTCCAAAAAAGCGGTTCGTCTAGTTTAATGTGTAAGCCATCTTAAGGCATGAATTGCTGAACTATAAGCTTTTGCAGATTTATTGAAATAGCAATAGTTTTCTCTATTCCCCACATTTCTTTGCTTTAGCCTTGTGGGCGGACCATTTGTTTAACTAACTAGCTAAATACAGCCTGAATCATGAAAATAAGTGTCTGGGTGACCAACAGCCTGCTATCACAGCTCAAAATACACATTTCATTAAAGCCTTGTGTTGGACTGAACTTCAGAAAGCATTGTGGAAATGATCCACTCCTGTCTATTTTAAACCTACTCAAGGTCTCAGTATCAGCATTGGAGGGACAAGTGGTGTTGTGCCATCTCTACTTGTTACTAATTAAATCTTCTATTATTACACAAATCACAACCAAGAAATACAAAATGAAAGCCACACTGAATATGAAAAATTTCATTCTGAAATGTTGCGTATCCATTTGTGACAATTTTGGATACAATAACATATTGAAAAGAAAAACAGCTGATGTATAATGGAAAGCACAAACACAATATGACAATATTTTATTGTTATTGTGTTACGCAATATGTTTTTTGGAGCATATTGTGGATATTGTCAAAACTTAAAGGACACTGACCAACTGAATGTTTCACTACAGAGTGAGCATAATTAGCCCTGTTTAAGTAGATTTAGTGCAGTGCAGTAGGTGAAATATGGAATGATGTAGTCATAGTTCTTGATAACAGTTTTTAAATGAAAACTCTAGAAAGGGGTCTACAATGCGTTTTGTTACAACCCCAATTCCAAAAAAGTTGGGACGCTGTGTAAAATGCAAATAAATGTAAATAAAAACAGAATGCAATGATTTGCAAATCTCATAGACCCACATTTTATTCACAATAGAACACAGAACACATATCACGTTGAAAGTGAGACATTTTACCATTTCATGAAAAATATTAACTCATTTAGAACTTGATGGCAGCAATGTATCTCAAAAAAAAGTGGGACAAGGCCATGTCTACCATTGTGTAGCATCCCCTCTTCTTTTAACAACAGTCTGTAAATGTCTGGGAAGTGAGGAGACCAACTGCTGGAGTTTTAGGAGAGGAATGTTGTCTGATGTAGGATCTTAGCTGCTCGACAGTCCTGGGTCTTCTTTCCCGGATTTGTCGTTTCATGATGCGCCAAATGTTTTCTATGAGGTGAAAGGTCTTTACTGCAGGGAGGGCAGTTCAGCACCTGGACTCTTCTACAGCGATAGTGAATGGTGTTCACAGACAATGATTTCTGGAAGTGTTCCTGAGCCCATCCAGTGATTTCCAGTACAGAAACATGCCTGTTTTTAACGTAGTGCCGTATGAGGCCCCGAAGATCACGACCATCCAATATTGACCGTCGGCCTTGTCCCTTATGTACCAGGATTTCTCCAGATTCTCTGAATCTTTTGATGATGTTATGTACTACAGATAGTGGGATATCCAAAGTCTTTGCAATTTTTATGTTGAGGAACATTTTTCTGAAATTGTTCCATAATTTTTAGACACAGTTTTTGCAGACTGCTGAACCTCTGCCCATCTTTGCTTCTGAGAGACTCTGCCTCTCTAAAATGCTCTTTTTTTGTACCCATGATGCAAGTGATTTGCAAATTGCTCCTCTAGCTGTTTGTTTAAAAGGACCACTTTATTTTTCCAGCCTTTTGTTGCCTCTGTCCCAACTTTCAGATGCATTGCTACCATCAAGTAGAGATTTTACAACAAAGTATTCTACTTTTGAGGAAAAGTTTTCTGGCGGAAATGGGAGGAAAGCATCTATAGCTAAAGCGTAAAGCAGAGCAAAGGTAGTCTGCATTTTCGTTTATATTTTTTAACCTAAAAAATAAACCGAGGATCATTATGAGGTTCTACTCAGGATAAAGTCTGTTCATGACAGCAGCGCTGACTTATTAAAGCGATCAGATACGAGAGCTCGCGTGATTTTACCGCGTTAAAGGCTCGAGCTGGGCACGCAGCGCAGTTTTCAGCTGCTTTCACTCTGAACGCTGAATGAATGAAAATTCGCTGGGTGGAGCTTCAGTGAGGAGCCCAGCCAAACACGGAGCCCACCGCGGCAGACCCGCAGGGCCATTTTTCCCATTTTGCGCGATGCACTTTGTCCAATTGTTTCAGCGCAGCCAATAGGAGAGCAGCAGGCGGGTCTGGTGGTTCTTCTCGTCACCTGATAGGACGGATTTATCAGAGAACGCGGCCCATTTTGCGAACACTGCGCGCACATACAGCTGTGAAAGGGGTCCGAGTTCTAATGGAGTTGGGGTCTGAACAAGAAGTGGTCTGAGATCCCAAAGGACCAGAAAGAAGACTGAGTCCTCTTTATAGTTCACTTACATTGTGAACACAAAACGAACTGAGGTCATTTGCAGTTGGTTCCCTTCCAGGTTCACTTTAACAGAACTCGGTTCGGTTCTTTTAAAACGAACTATATGTGAAAACACTGTAACCATTAGATACAAAAATGAGATGACATGAAGGCAAACAGCTTGTTTAACTAATGAAATTGTAATTCTCAATTCAAAGTGCCTGATTATCGATAGACTACTTGTCATCGGAGTTCAGGAGAATGAACATCTGTCTAATCATGTAAAAATCTAACAGCTGTTACTGATTCCTCATGCAAACCTGTAAGTAGCGTGGATGCGCAAGAACCGTCCCACAGCCTTCCATCTCACAGCGGACATACTGCACTGGGGGCTTCTTCCTATGAATGAATGAATGAATTCAGAACCATTAGCCTACTGAGTTTGCACACAGAGGAATAAGACCTCCGCATTTAACCCATCCGTGCAGTGAAACACCCACAAACATGCACACTAGTGAACACACACACTAGGGTGTGTGTTCACTAGTGTTCATTTCGGGCACATGGGCAGCCCTATCCACAGCGCCCGGGGAGCAATTGGGGGTTAGGTGCCTTGCTCAAGGGCACTTCAGTCACGTACCGTCAGCTGAGGGGATCGAACCAGCAACCTTCTGGTCACAAGGCTGGTTCCCTAACCTCCAGCCCACGACTGCCCCATAACAGTAACAATAATGGGATAACAATGTGTTTGACCCAAAATGCAGGAAACAACAGAAAAATTTCGCATAGGCTAGCTGAGATCAACCAGTAAAGCAATTAATTTGTTCTTTGTTATAGACAATTTGTTACAACGTTATGTAAAAATGCTTCTGATTCATCTGCATCTTGGATTTTGGAATGTTACAATTGATTGTAATTGCTTATAATAATATTCAATAAAGTATTCAAGCATTCTTTGGCCAAATACAATTCTTGGACTATTGTCAAAAGTGTAGTGTAGATTTTAATGTCTGTATAGTTACTTGACACATGTATGTTTACATGTACAGCATTTTATAGACTCCAAATACAAGTTAATACTTCTGTGTGAAGTAGGTGACACTACTTTTTAGTCATCTGTCTGACAGAACAGGTATGTTTCCTTGTAATAAAATGTTTCAGTCCACACCGGCTGCACTACAAGCATACCTTATATCTGTGAAAATAATAAACTCCACAGACATCCAGTCAAATCACACACACGTTTTTTATGGTGTCCTAAACTGTTTTTACATCATTAATTTACTTAAATGTGACAACTTCGTTAGTGCAGCTCATGCACCACACTAATATTATATGGAGGCTACTCTTCTCTGATACAGCAGGAAAACATGTGATTGTAATTTCATCACAATAAACAGATTTGCTGTTTGTGCTGTAAAGTTTCAAACCTGCTGTGTACAACTGTTAAGTTACAAGAGAGAAAAGAAGAGCCTGAAGCAGTTACATGACAGAGGCAGAGGTAACTTGCATGGAGGTACTCTGATAAAGATCGCTACAGTTACATATTGGAGATGATTCATCAAGCCTATCATGCCTCCATCATCATCCTCTTTTAGCAGATTTTGCACTGAGCATTTTGCTTTGCTGTCTGATGATTTAAAGTGCTCCCAGATATGATTTCACAGGCATCTTTGCTCCCCTTTAGCTTTAGTAGTCATGTGAAAGGCAGTGCAGGTTGTTTCACTCCAAAGCAAGTTGATGTTTGGCATAGAATTGTGATGTACAGTTCATTTATTCAGAACATAAATATCCATATATTAACAATAACCATTCTATCCAAAGGCCTTTGCTTATGACATTTTTTAAGCTACACTTTTAGTGGTTTAAAAAAAGCTGATGCTTTTGTATAGTTAATAGTGAAACAAACATCAATATTTAAAACAAGTACTGGAGCATTCAAATTATTCAGGCCAGACCTATTAAAAATGTTTCTCAATCATAATAAAATCAAAGTCATCAAATCAAATCATTGTGAATTATGAAGTACCATAAAGCACTAAGTCGTTTCCTAAAGATCTGTAATTAAATCAGACTAAAGGTCAATGTTACACTGTTCAGTGTGGGTGTCCTACCTTCTCTTTGGAAGACGGGGGCTTTTATCATCTTTCCTTCGCCTGCCTCTCCTATTAGATAAGAAAAAAAAAAGTTAGAAAAGAAATGTAAAAATAATAAAAGGGAAAGCAAACATTTTAGTATGGCATCAATATGCTCACTGATGTGTGAACTGTTCTAAACTGCAAGGGTGCTGCAAAACCAAAAAGGGAAAATAATAAGATGGGTTTCTGGTTTTCCCTGGTATTTTGTGTCTGAAACCTCTAGAGCAAGACTGTTTTAGTGCTGGAGTAACAACTAGACAGTATATTTGCTGCAGACCACCTGAACCATTCCCTGAAACAGCTATAACCCTGAATAACATCATACACAACACAAATGTTGTATCAACTTTATTTGTATTGACGTGGTCACTCCTTACATGCCCTATAAAACTGTATTCTCGTGTACCAATCACAATTAGAGCATTGTTTTTAGAGACTCCATTCCACACCCCCCACCCAACACAAACCAAAGATTCTTTAGTTGTGCCTCATCTACCAACTACTATGGAGCAAACGTAAATAGTAAATAATAATAATCAAATAAATAATTACTGTTACAAAAAGTATCCTATGGGCTTTATTTGACAAGATATTTTGAAAAAAATCTGAACAAAGAAAAATCATGACTGTATCCATCTTGTTGCACACATTACTAGTGAGCTGTTGATTGATGCTGGTTGTTGCGAAATTTAGTCCTCAAACAATGCAACTGCATTAAATGCCATAATTAACAGAATTCACATTCTCTATGATGCACGGCCACATTTTCATATCATGATATCATGATGCCATACCACTGTTCTTGAATGATTTGGTGTCTAGCCACAGTGTTAAACTTTAGCAAATTTGTGTCTACACACAGATTATGTGTGTATGTGAATGATTAACTGATAGAGCAAGACCATGCTGACAAAAAAGTCAATTTTTATTTTTTTTATAATTATTTACCTAGAAAGGCCACAGAGTATTTTAAGAGCAATTTTGAAAGTTTGCATCAAAACCCAGAGACTCGTTTGAAAAATGTTCTCAAACAGTTAACAACTACAAAAAACTATACATTTTTTTAATACACTTGTAATTGGAAATTTGTCTGGCGCACTGTACTACATTACAGGAAAACAATTGTGACCATAAATAAATATACATACATGTAATATGTCATAATTAATTGATTTCTATGAAAAGCTACCCCCGGTAACCAGTTTTTTTGAAACTTCACAGATTGTTAGAAAGTGCCTACATCGACACACCATTCAAGTTTCATGATGATTCGTCAATGATAAGCCTGTCAAATGTCTGCTGAATGCTGACTGGCCTATAGCGACCATTAATTTCAACGCATCAAATTGTCCTTAAATTTTTTTTCTAGTCTGTCTAATAGATGCTACTTGCAAAATTTCAGCTTGATCAGATGTATGGATGCTGAGAAACACTTATTTTATACTTATATTTATAGCTACACGCCCCCTAACGATGTATGCACATAAAAATGTATAGGCTACCCCAGAATCTACTCCTGAATAAGCATAAGTTAATTTTTTTTTTTTATAAAGCGTCATAATTATGAATTATTCCAAAAAGGGTTCATTAGCATATGGCAGCCATATTTGTTATAAAAGTAAAAAAAAATTTGAGGTTCAGGCGCTTCTGAATTTTTTGACACCACTTACATCAGAATCGGACAAAAACCATAGCATTTGCATATTATATAAATATGCTATGCGAAAAATCTAGGTAGGCGGAGCTAAATGTTCCAAATTGAAGTAGTTTGTAAGTAGTTTGTCTTGAACCAAGGAATCAGGAAAAAAATAGATTTGGCTCTAAAAAATTTGGTTTAGGAATTAAAGAGCCAAACGCTGTGCTGCGCCAAACACTGTGCTGCGAAATAGCGCCCCATTTGTACTTATGTCGTGCGGCTGAGTTGCAGGAGGGACTACTACCGACTGCCTAAGTTTCATGTCTCTAGGACTTACAGTTTGGTCTGGGCTAATAATAACATCAAACAAATAAACTGTGTGCTTGGACCCTAAAAGTTGCTTAAAAAATTTCATTGCACACGTCATTTAGCAGCCATTTTCATTTTCAAAACATATTCAAAGCTAATGTCCACTTGTAAGTTTTTAGGAGAAGCAGGAAGTTTATTCTTCAAAACTGCAGCTGTACATAAAATACAAAAAAAAATTTTACCAATCAAACTGTTAAATCCAAAAGGTGTAAGATTTGTTGCACTCCCTATAGTATAGTTTAACAGTTGTGAAAATCTTTTACTAGTTTACAACGGACACATGAACACAAGTAGTTTATAGGTAGTTTGGGTCTAATTTATTAAGGCATGTATGCGTCTCAGCTTAATTTAATTTACTCTTTTCTCTACTAGAAGGAGATCGTTAAAAATGATCCGTCTTTAAATGCCTACCAAGGAGGAATTTTCAGTACAACCCTAATCAACTTGTTTTGGGCCAGGTTATTAGTACTGGCCGTCTATTCTTAAAGAGTAACTACACCCTAAAACCTTTATTTTTCATTCACAGCTGAAATGTATCACTCTGTAATAATAAAATAAACCAGCCTTGCTTGAAATGTGAACACATCTTTCCAAACTGTAAAAAATATTATTTTTATCGTGGTTAGTTCGGCCTCTGCAGTGCCCCTCTGGTTCAACTCTGCTACAGGTGCGGATGATGCGTCATCGTACTTTGGTACGCAAACCAAGTCAACCAATGTTACCACCCCTTTATGCCCTAGTCGTGCCGCTCTCATAAATATGAAAGCATAGGAGCCTATGCTTTCCCATAGGAGAGAGAACTTCAGCGCCATTTTGGATCTTCTTCTATACATATTGTCTCATTGCATTTAGCTTATTTCACATTCTAGATAGTTATTATTGCTAATTCTTAGTTATTATATTTGTAGATATTGTAGTTTTTAGCCTTTTAGACTAAACTAGCCTTTTAGTCTTAGCAAGGTTACTTTAGCTAAAGTTAATTAGCTAGTTATATTTAACATTTAGTCTTTTAAATATAGTTTTTCAAATTGTTGAATTTTTGAATTTAGCTTTTCTGGGTTGAGAGCAGTGGGCTGAACATGTGCTTACTATGGATGTAAAAGCAACACTGGATTGCACACATTTCACAATAATCCAACACGGGCCAGCCAGTGGTAACGCATGATCAGCAAGCATGCTTGCAATGCAGACTTTGATGGGGGGAGTCTCTCCAACTTTATGGAGGTAAAATAGGTTACATGCCTGAGCAACATCTTCGCCTGAATCCTGATGTTGTCCCTTTATCTGCAGAGCACCTAAGGTAAGTTTGTGTCATCTCTTACTATAGAGCATTTTGTTCAAATTAAGCATGTTCTCACATGTCTGTGTTTAAAACCGAAGAAAACAATCTAATTATAATTTAACTTCATGTGTGGATAATGTCATTAAATAGTATTTTTCCCCACTGATAAAGAGTTGGCGCAATTTTTTTTTACTGAGTTTTTCCACTGTCAGCTAGGATAAGTCAACCTGCTAGCTAGCTAAACATACAACGGAGCAAATTATTTACTATTGCAGTAAGTGTACAAAAAGTGAGTGCCAAGTCATATTTTGGGGATGGGCATTTTAGGTACTCAAATGTAGCCGTCTGAAAAACAAAAGAGAAAACAAACTAGCTATAACCTACATTTGCACCACACCATGCAGGCCATGACAACAACGAGCCTTTTGGTGCGAAATGCAGTTGCTAGACTGGCAAACCTAAAATTCACGGCACCAGCAATCATCCAAGAGTTTTGCAAGCCATCGTGTACTGTTGTTGTGCCAGCTCCAGACCTGGAGCCCCCACTGCTCTGCATAGGTTTGTGTTATACATTTAGCTAGCCAACTAGCTCGCTATCTTAGCGGAAACTGAAAAACACTGCAAAAAATTGAGCCAACTCAAAATGTTTGTCACTTTTTATTAGATGTAAATAAACAATTAGATGGCATCATCCACATATGATTGTTCTTCACTGCTTTGTGCAGCGAAACTTACAAGTCTCTCTAATGATAGGGAATTTAGCTAATCAACACTGCAATGTCATACATTCAAATATTCAAATATTCAAGTAGGTAAGTACTAAAATTTGCGATTTTCGTGTGGTATTTTGTGAGTCAACTTGGTGGTTATTTGACATTTACTCATGCCTGTCCCTATTTTACTAAAGTATAAGAAAAGAACTATAAGATAATAACAGTACAACAACATTTCCTTTTTTAGGCAAAAAACCATAGAGGAATAGCATGTCAGACTGATTCACCGGGCCTGCTTGATGCCTTTGTCCAGGCACATGTGAAACCATCCACAAGGTTTAAAGGTAGGTACAGAGATTTAGAGCTCACTTGTATTGTCCACTGTGCAGATATGAAAGTCTGCATTATTATCATTTTTATTATTAGGGTTCAAGCATGCAGGGCGTGGTTGAGGAGAAGAGACCATAAGTCACAGACACCACATTTTTTCCTGATTCCTTGGCTCAAGACAAACTAATTTGCAATTCAGACCATTTAACTCTGCCTACTTAATTTTTTTTTTTGCATAATTGCATAATATGCAAAACCTACTTTTGCAAACTAGTCCTACATTTTTCACTCAATTCTCATACAACTGCTATCAAAAAATTCTAAACATCAATAATTATCAAAAACATTTTGACTTTTGTAAACAATATGCTGCCATATGCTAATCAACCCCTGTGAAATATTTATAATGAATTTAAAATTCTAAAGTATCATCCAAAAAATTTTAAACTTCAGATCCTTATTCAAGAGAAGATTCTGAGGTAGCCTATCAATTTTGGTGCAAGTATATCAATAGGGGGCACTGTTATTGCTAAATAACTTTCTCAGAACTTTCTCAAGCTGATATTTTGCAGGCAGCATCTACTAGACAGACTATAAATCAATCTGCAAGGACAAGTTGATACGTTGAAATTTATGGCCACCATCAGCCAATAAGTTTCCTTTGATAGGCTTAACATTGACCAATCATCATGAAACTTGAATGGTGTCATCATGAAACTTGAATGGTGGCACTTTTGAAAAACCAGTGAAGTTTCACAAGATATTGGCCATTGGGGGTACTATTCATGAAAGTCATTATTACATATTTACATATTTTTATTCATGACGACTAAACTGGTTTCTTGTAACGTAGTACAGAGGGCTAAACAAATTACAAATGTATTAAAAATGCATTTTTGTTTTTTTTGTTAACTGTTTGAGAATAACACATTTTGAACTAGTCTCTGGGTTTTGATCCTTGTAGCCTCCATTATTTTACTTAATCCAAACTGATGATAGAAACCGCTTTGACATATCATAACTTAGTGTAAGTTACTTGTGGCCAAGCTTATTGGCTTTTCTACTCCTATTAAACCATTTTTTTGCATGATCAGACTGGACTCTGTAAAGCCTGTGTTATTACTTCATTCCTGGACTATGATTTTTCATTGCTTTTACCATCAGGTCAGAGGTACAGGTCTACAGTGTGTAGTAACGTTTGTTTTGGGATTAGATTGTGTTAATTTCTATATCCAAGTACATTTTATACATACATTCTTTTTGAGCTTTACCCCTTTTAATGTGTTATTATTACTGTATTATCGTGTTATATCTAGTGCTTTTTACTTTTAGAGACTTGTTTTCTGTTGCTGTTTTAACGTTTTTCTGATATTTTGAATTCTCTTTTTATGAGGATATCAAGTACATCATTATCATTAATTAGCCATTAATTAATACCATTACTGAAATGGCTACTTAAAACAATGTTACTCACTTCCTAGGAGGCTCTGCACCCTCCCCGAATTCCACCTTCACATCCACTCCGTCTCCTCCTTCTTTCTTCACCTCTGCCTGCACCTCCTTCTCTTTCTCCACTACAGCCATTTTCTCTTTTTTCTCCCGCAGCCTGGGAGGGGCTTTGCGTCGTGACTTAGGAGTGTCCCTTCAAGAAGCCAAGATCAGAATAAGAGATTTTCATTTGGATTATTTATATAAAAATTCCTCATTGACTCATAGGCGTGCAAAAACATAGACTACCACTCCGAAGTTTGGAATCACTGTTTTCAAAAATACAAAAAGCCTGCGATTATGTTTATAAATGATTCTGATGTGTTAGTGATGCTATGTCACAAAGCTCAAAAAATAGTAATAAAACAAACAAATTTAAAACTGTTCCATTAAAACTGAATTTACAACAGACAATTACCATAAACAGACAATCTTCATTTAACAACTTTGTTATTAAATTATCATTAAAAAATACTTAGACTGACTGTAAATATTTTTCATTAAGTCATCTAAAAATATTTTCTGGTGTGACTGTGCATGTTAATGTGACAGTTGATTCCAAAGTTTTGAATGGTAATATACGTGCACATAGAAATCACACACATGCGTTACCTCTCAGATTTAGGGTCATAGCTCTGGTCATTCAGGTCGTCTCTAAAGGGTACATCTTCATCACTGCTGATTCCTACGTCATCATCACTGAAACATAGACAGAAACAGTCAGTGCAAAGCAATCAAACTTAATTACACCTTTCACTACGTTTCATCATTCAGTATATATTAACAGCAGGACACACTGTCCACTACCAGAAAGAAGATGCCAGAAATCATAATTGTTGTACTGACCAGCACTAGGGGTGTAACTACACAGGGTTTCAGGTTGGACATGATTTTCAATTCTATAGTGAAGCTTTGATTTGATTTTTGAAACTTTACGTGTTTAAAATGTCTTGCTTCTAGAGAGCTCTAACACAGTCTAACACAGTCGCGTGCAAAATGTTTGTATATCCCCATGATGTTAAGTTAACAAATCTTCTACAAGGAACATAATTAATCCCTTTTTTAAAAACTAATTTTAGTGCAAATTTTTATATATTTGCTGAGTTTACATAACAGAAAAAATAAAAAAATAATAAAATGTGCAATAATTTTGGCACAGGCCACATTTCTGTTTTATAATTTTCCTTACCAGGTATATCTAGCAAACTAATAGTAATTGTGCATTAAAATGTGAAGAAATGTATTCTCTGTTTAGGATGTATACTTATTTTCACTCACAAAATCAAAACAATGTGTAATTTGACAAAGGACATCAAAACTTTCACATACAACTGTGCAACACATATTAGCTTGGTCTAGAAAAACTACAGAATACTCGTAGAATGTATAAATTCTTCGGAAAAAAGTCCAGTAATGTGTGCCTATATACATCACGCCATGGCATGTATTACAGCATGAAAATATCTGACAAAAGTCTGTTTTCAAAGTTCTGCTGATTTAATTATTGGATTTACTGTAAACCGCTCCTTGACCTTTTCCAGTTGTAAGTAATAATAGCCATTAAACCTTATAATAAAACAGTGTGCTCCGTTTTTGACTATTTGCGCAGAGGACGTCAAATCCTCTGTAACAGGTCTTTAATGGCAAATGTAAAGGTGTGCATCTCTGTAAAACTCCATTTGAAGGCCACAAGGTTGAGCTGTGAATCCCAAACAGTCTCACTAAAACGTATGCGTCCCAGGTCCCGATTACATCCTAAGTTTTTCATGAAAAAAGAATATTAGCCAATCTCCTTCTTAAGCATTTACTGACTCACTAACACCACCTGCTGACCAATACCTTCCTTGGAAACCCCTTTTCTGGTCGTGGACAAATTCAATTGTAAACCTCCAGAACTGTATAAAAAACTCCATCAGTGCAGTACTATACCTCTGGCACTGCGGCTGGTAGTTCTGGTCTTTCAGGTCATCCACATACGGAGGCTCTTCCTCACCCAGGACATCATCCTCCTCTCCTTCTGTCTTTTTTTGATCACTGAAGAAGCACATTAAACACATTTGACTTTGGCTGAACGATACAAACAAAACAGTATCCTGATTATATCACTACCTGTTGAAATTTAGATACATATTGCGATGTATTAAAAACACACTATTTAATTAGTAACGTAGCATTAAAATGGGCCCGCATTATTTGACCAAAATATTTTACTTCTCTCTCAATTATTTTGTTCCTCTATACAAAAAAATCTGAAATTTCTCAGGAAGCTCACAGAACACAGTAAAAAAAATGTGATTGGTTAGAAGACTTTTTATTTGCTTATTGATTATATGATATAAATATCAATTTTGTGATCAATGAATGATTAAAAACAATATATTGTGCAGACCTGTTAGAACTTTACAACCAACACAGACAACAAGCACAGAAACTACAAAGGCACTCCACATGATCATGTCTAGGGAGGCACAGAAATGCTAATTTTTCTACAATTGATGCTGAGTACCAATCCTTACATAGCTGCCAATTCCAAGTGATAGCATCATTTTGTGCAAGCCCTGTATGTGGCTGTAATGTGGCCAACATTAATCTATACAGACCTATGAAATAGTCAATCAATCAATTCTCAATCAATTGTACCATACAAATACTTTGTTCAAAAAACAACTGACAAGATGGTAAGAATCAGATTAAACGAATATGTTCACTTTTAATTAATCCTCTTACACTGTTGCTTGTCTACACTCACATCTGAAGGATGTATGCCAGTCAGTGCACAAAGATTTTCGTCACACAACACCACGCTGTCTGTATGTTAATGCCAATATTTTTATGTAATAATAGAATTTCAGTACTGATACTGATGTTGGTGCATGTCCAGTCCTTTATGCATGTGTATTAAATGTAAAAAGCTTATCACCTTTCTCCTGTCCTCTTGCCAGCTGCCTTGTCTGTTTCCACTGTGGAAATGTCAGATGAAATTACAATTATAAAAACAGAAATTGCACAACAAACTCAAAATCAATTTCATCAAAAGCAAAAAATGCTAATATCTGCAAATATCTCAGTCCAAAGCCTGACTATGATTTCTGATGTTTCTAACAGCTTCACAATATATTCAGTATGAGATCGAGGACAAAAAAAATTATACACACTATATAGGCAAAAGAAAGTCTGCATGAGATTACTGGACATCCCATTCCAACCCCTTCCATTTTTGAGACTATAATATAGCCTCCACTCTTCTGGGAAGACTTTCCACACGATTCTGGATTATGTCTGGGGGTATTTCTCCCCATTCAGTCAAAGGAGCAGTGGTAAGGTCAGACTAGGGATGGACAATATGACTAAATTTTAATCACTGTGTCACAATTATGCAATTAAGATTGCGCTTTTCTAAGCATATTGTGAATATCATGAGTACGTAAAGCACCAACTACATATTTCAACACAAATTCCAACAATAAGTCCTCCATTTTACAAACTGGACTTTTGACAGTGTTTGTAAAACACTGAACAAATGTAGTTGTGATCTATTATAATTACTGAATTTTTTTCTATGTGGCACTAAAGGTTCAATTTTGTCTGTTCCAACTTATTAAACCTCACAAAAACTAACCATCGTGATACATATTGTGTATCGTGAAAACAGCCTGAAGTATCATGATATAATATTTTTGACACATCACCCACCCGTAGGTCAGGCATTGATGTTAAACAAGAAGATCTGGCTTGCAATCGACATTTCAGTTTATGCAAATAGCATTCAGTGGGGCTGAGGACAACGTTAATGCAACAACATACACTATATAGACAAACGTATTGGGACACACCGCCTAATTACTGAGTTCAGGTGTTTCAGCCATACCCACTGTTGGATGACAGTTGGATGAAATTAAACACATAGCCTTGCAGTCTCAATAGGCAAACAATGGCTGTAGAATGGGTCATACTGACTGTGGCACTATCATAGGATGCCACCTCTGCCGCAAGTCAGTTTGTGAAATTTCTGTCCTGCTAGATCTGCCCCTGTCAACTATAAGTGCTATTACTGCGAAATGGAAGCATATAGGAGCAACAACAGCTTAGCCATAAAGTGGTAGACCACGTAAACTCACAGAGTGGGGCCGACAAACGCCCAGCATGCTGCCCCTGGACTCTGAAACAGTGGAAACGCGTTCTGTGGAGTGATGAATTAGCTTCCCTATCCAGCAGCAATGGCAATCACTGGCTGGAGTAATGTAAAACATGCCACTCAACAGCTCAGTTTTAACTCCAGAAACATGCTGTCTGGAGTGATAAATCACTTTTCACTAGTAATCTGATGGACAAGTTTTGGCATACAAATCCATGTACACTGCATGGACAAAAGTAATGGGACACCCCATTCTAAATCCATAGGTAATAATATTGAGTCAGTCCCCTCTTTGCAGCTATTACAACGTCCCCTCTTCTGGGAAGGCTTTCTACAAGATTTTGGAGTGTGTCTGTGGAAAAAAATATGAAAAAGGGCCAAACTTCAAAAATTCAGAACTAAAAAAGTACTTAGAGTAGAGCTATAGGATTTTGCAAGGTCCCATGAATTTAATAGAAGTTTATTTTTTTTTAAAGAAAATCCATGAAATAAACTACAAGGGCTAGGTGAGCTGTGCAAGTGTGAAGAACCTACAAAGGCTCCAATGACAGTTTTTCCTAGAACTGTACATCCAAGCCAAGAACCACTGTATGTCAAACCCAAGAACCATTTAGAAAGCTTAATTTAAGAGTGTACCAGAGTAATGTTGTAGTGTTTTTTATAACACAATTACTTCACAATTAATAGCCATTAGGCCTTAATCACTGAGGAAAGCATAGAAATGTGGCATGTCAAAAGGTTGTTGGTGGTGTTCTTTAATCTTAGATAAGTTTCAGGATCACCATTATGCTGCAAAGGACACATTCAAAATCAAAAGTGAAACACTCTTCATTACCACATAAAGTCTCTGCTTCTGGTTCGCTCTTGCACACAACCCGGGTTATACTCTTCTGAGGCCATGAAGAAGGAGTCCTGCTGCGGCTCTGAGTCCGCCTGCCACCACCCGCTGTAGAGAAAGAAGGGCGAGTGTGACCACGTTTATAATGGCCTCATCCTACAATTACAGCTGTTTGTTGCCAGGGCTGCAACTAAGGATTATTTCTGTAATCTATTACTTTTATTAATTTATTGACCACTACTTTAATAGACTTAAAGTACCACAACATGCTATTTATTCTCTTATTAGAAGAAACAGTAGCGTGTTACAATGTGTCAGAACGACTATATGGATCATTTGAATATTACAGTGCATTAAAACAAAGAACAGCCATATCGTTCCCTATACGCATTACAATCTGTCAGAATGACCACATGCATTATTATAGAGTGCTTTTTAAAATCAAACAGTAGAAGGCATATTGTCCCCTACACTTGAGGCACTGCATTACAGTGTGTGAGACTGACCATGTGGCTTGTTATAGAGCACCTTTTAAAATCAAACAACAGAAGCCATATTGCCCTCCACACTTCCTGTAATATACTGCAATCTGTCAGAATGACTGTGTGGATCATATGAACATAGTATAGCATTATAAAAGCTTCAGTTTTTATGTAAACCTGAACCCTCCGTGGTTAATCGTTGCAGCCCTATTTACATCACATTAAACTCCTATTACCTCGAGTGCTGCTGCCGGCATCCTTACTCTCTCCAGACCTTAGATGAAATAGAAAGAAGAAACTAATCAATTCAGCAAAGCAGATTACAGTACACATTTTGATAACAGAGGACATCTGTACAGATGAACCTCTCGACCAGAAAACACAAAGTGTTTAGAAACATTTGATCGCAATCTATAGATGCAAAGGAGGACAAACTGAGACTTCAGGTCAAGACGTAGATCAACGTTTGGATCAAATGTTTGGATCAAATGTAAATCTGTGTCGACACAAAGTATGTCTTGCTTTGCAGTTTCACGTTTAACATTAGAAATGGCATTCGATTCAAATCAGTGTTTTTCAACACATTATTTGCAGTAATGTGTTTTAACTAACTATTCAGCTAAAATCAGCTAAGAAAATAGACCGTCTTGAGTTGAATTGGATGTGTAAGAGCAGGAAACACCAAAGTAAAATGGGCAGGAAACAGGAATTCTCTGACAAGGGTCGGAAAGCACTGCCCCGAGTTCCATTCCTGTAAGATCTTCGTCCAGCACAATTTGGTGGCTATACCCAAACACACCTGATTTAACTCAGCAGTTAGTTACCAGTTTAATAGGTATGTCTGAGCAGGAGAATCACCAAACTGTGCTGAACCAGGCCCCCTAGGCCCAAAACCTGATGACCTCTGCTGAAAGATCATGGTCTGCATCTGGCATTTCTCCTGTTGAAGGAGCCTATACTTTGCAGCTCCTGCGCGGTATTATGCAGGCAGGATCCGGCGGCAGAACAGAGCTGACACGGGACTACTATATACTCTCACCCTGCACCACAACACCTGTAACTTTCACGGTTCTCACCAGCTTCTTCTACATTTTGCAGTGAATTTCAATCTGTTAGGAAGAATATAACTGAAGCTCGTACCGTCCGGCCGGGCCACTCTCTTTGCCCGCCTCTGTAGCTTTGCTCCGCCGCGGCGGGGCAGCTTTCCTCCGCCGACTCTCCTCCACCAACTCTTCGTCCCGGTGCTCCTTTTTCTCGCTGTGCTTCCACGCTGGAAGAGCTCTAGCCGACCGGTCCCGCAGCACTCGCCCAGATCCAACTGCATTCGCGCCGGCGCCGTTCGCGTTAGTGTCCAACTCTCCCGGGCTTTCCCTTGCCTTCAGCCGACTAGGGCACCGCCCTCGCAGCAGCTTCTTTGGCGTCTCTGACTGACTGTGGTCCGGGGATTTCTGTGCGGCCTTCTCCACGCCACACTTCTCCTCTTTGTTGTCCGAGAGCTGACCATCGCCGTGTTGCAGCTCCATCACCTCTTTTAACCTCTAAGCCTGCTTTTCGTTGCAGCTTAAAGATCATACACAAATGTGACCAAGCGTTGAGAGGCATAAAATATGAAAACAGTTTGCCGTGTAAAGGCCGGGATCCAACAGCCAAACATATTGCGCCCACTCTCGCACGTTCTGCGCATAAACGTTTATATATATGTACAAATATTTAATCCTTAACTGAAAACATACTTAAGCTACCTTATTATAACTATGCAAAAATCAATTTTAAAGACCCAGCCACTCTTTGCAGTTCTTAAAGCCACAGCATCGACACACAAAATCGCTCGTTGTTCGGTTTCGTCTTTGTTGCGTCTCCTTTAAGCCAAAAACTAAAGAGGAAGGAAAAAAAAGTCCAATGGCGACTACCAATGGAGAGGCGCGGTATTGCCTTTTTTTCTTCCCCCACCTGTATTTCTATATAATTATAATATTCATTGGTGCAAAGTGGACAGGAGGACACTTTTTGAAACTAGATATGTATTTTATTTCCTAAAGGAAATACCAGTGTTTACAAAGCAAAAATAAAAAAGTGAAATAGAAAAGGTAAAAACTACAAAGATATTAAATATTGATAGATAGACAGAATGGACTGGCAGCCATGGTGTTTTCTGCCTTCCACCCAATGAGCGCTGGAATAGGCTCTAGCAGCCCCCGCGGCCAATTAGGATAACGGTTTAGAACATGTGTAGATAGATAGATATGGGAGGAACGAGGGTTGAAAAATCTAAAAGACACAACTGAAGAAAGCAAACAACAAGTCCTTCTTGAGATAACGTGGATGAGCAGGAAGAGCAGGAAAAACCCAAGGCAATGTGCAAGGAAGAGGTATTCTCTGACAAAGTTTGGAAAGCACTGCCCTGAGGAACATGTTCTATAGCAGGAGTCATCAGTTCCATTCCTGGAAAGTCTTCATCCAGCACAATTTTTTGGCTATGCTCAAGATTCAACTCAGCAGTTGGTTAGCAGCTTACCAGGTGTGTTTGAGCAGGAGAATCACCAAACTGTGCTATACCAGGCCCCCTAGGCACAGAACCTGATGACCTCTGCTAAAAGATCATGCTCTGCATCTCTCCTGCTGAAAGAGCCTTGGCTCTGCAGCCTCTGCATGGCATTATGCAGGCAGGACCCAGGGCGGTGCTCTGTCAGCCACAGGATGAGAACAGAGCTGACACAGGGCTTCTATACACTCTCACCCTGCACCACAACACCGTTTGGCTGGGCTGCTTGCTTTGCCCGCCTCTATTGCGTTGCCCTGCCATGGCGAGGCAGCTTTCCTCCGCTGACTGTAGACAGACAGACAGACAGATAGATAGAGATTGCTGACAGACAGACAGACAGATAGATAGATAGATAGATAGATAGATAGATAGATAGATAGATAGTGGTGTGTGTGGCATGTGTGTATGTATTTGTGGTGTGTTTATGGTGTGTGGTGTGTTTGTGATTTGTATGTGGTGCATGAGTTGTGTTTATGTGGTGTGTGTTGTATGGCGTGGCATGTTTGTGTGGTGTGTGTGTGTTTGTGTGTGTATGGTATGTGGTGTGGTGTGATTGTGATTTGTGTGTTTGTGGTGTGTGTATGTAGTGTGTTAAGTGTGTGTTATGTTTCTGGCATGTATGGTGTGTGGTGTGTTTGTGGTGTGTTGAGCGTGTCGTGTTGAGTGTGTGTGTTGTGTGGTGTGGTGTATGTGTGTGATGTTGTGGTTACTATATAGAGCTTTTTACAACAGGAGTTGTCACAAAACAGTGGAAATTATGGATTTAACGTAGCAGGAGATTTTCAGTACCAGTGTATTTAAGTTAACAAAGATAGACCGATCTATGTGTGTGTGTTGTGTGTGGTGTTTGTTTGGATTTTAGGGTTGATTGTGATTTGTGTGTATGTGGTGTGTTGCCAGGGATACCATAACAACCACCTAGCAGTCCCCTATCCACCACTTGGGATACCATAGCAACCACCTAAAAACACCTTCCCTAACTAACTGGGAAACCATAGTAACCGCCTAGCAACCACTTGGGATTCTATAGCAACCACCTAGCAACACCCTAGCAACCACCTCAGATACCATAGGAACCACCTAGCCACACCTTACCAACCAACTGGGATTCCATAGTAACCGCCTAGCAACAACCTAGCAGAAAGTGGGAACCATTTAAGCTGCACAAACATTCTGCGCATTGCATCACAATATAATTGTATATAATCTATATTGTTATCTGATTCATATTATTCTTGTTAAGTTGGCTTGAAAAAGCCAGCTTACTGTTCTTCGTAATCTTCTTCTTATTATTATTAAGTTGGCTTGAAAAAGCCAACTTACTGTTCTTCGTAATCTTCTTATTATTATTAAGTTGGCTTGAAAAAGCCAACTTACTGTTCTTCGTAATCTTATTATTATTATTATTATTATTATTACTAATATTATTATTAAGTTGGCTTGAAAAAGCCAACTTACTGTTCTTCGTAATCTTCTTCTTCTTCTTATTATTATTATTCCACGCTCAAAATTTAAACAGTTTCTCCTCCTACAGTTTTCAACGTAGAGCCACGAAACTTTGCAGGATCGTAGATCCTATACCCGAATAGTGTGCTTGTGCTTTTCTAAGGAATCCGATGTACGGTTTTCGTACAGCGGACGAAAAACGGACGATTTTTTTCCCATAGGAATGAATGGCCGGAATGTTGGCAACATTCAAATTGATGTCACAATGGCCACCTCTCTCACACACATATTCAAACTGACGCACGGAACACTTAGTCTCACATGCTCACAGCCTAATGCTGAGTAGTATCAACACACATAATGAATTTTTTAAGGTGAAACTGCTTTTAAGGTGGAACTTCAATAAGCATAATAATAAATTTAAGGTGGAACTGGTATTAACATAGCACTAAATTTAAGATGGCACAGAATTTAAGGTGGAATGTCAATTAACATAGCATTAAATTTAAGGTGGTACCGCTATTAACATAGCGCTAAATTTAAGGTGGAACAGGATTTAAGGTGGAATTTCAATTAACAGCATTCAATTTAAGGTAGAACTGCTAATAACATATCACTAAATTTAAGGTGGAACAGAAATTAACATAGAACTTCAATTAACATAGCACTAAATTTAAGATGGCACAAAATTCAAGGTGGAACTTCAATTAAAATAGCATTAATTTTAAGGTGGAACTTCTTTTAAGGTAGCAATGAGTTTACACTGAATTTAAGGTGGAACTGCATTTGTGTTAGCACTGAATTTAAGGTGGAATTTTAATTAACATAGGAATAAAACTGAGGTGGCACAGAATTTAAGGTGGAATTTCTTTTAAGGTGGCACCAAATTTAAAATGGAACTCTTTTTAAGGTGGCGCTAAATTTAAGGCAGAACTTCAATTACCATAGCATTAAATTTAAGGTGGAACTGCTATCAACATAGCACTAAATTTAAGATGGCACCGAATTTAAGGTGGAACTCTCTTTAAGGTAGCACTAAAATTAAGATGGCACAGAATTTAAGGTGGAACTCTCTTTAAAGTAGCACTAAAATTAAGATGGCACAGAATTTAAGGTGGAACTTCAATTAACATTGCAATAAAATTAAGAGTGCACAGAATTTAAATAAAACTATTTAAACAGCTTGAACACACTCTACAGCCATCAGGTAACATCATTTTCACCATTATCTACAGCTTTAAACCTCAATAGTAATATTTAAACAGTTTTAACACACTCTACAGCCATCAGGCTACATCGTTTTAACCATTATATACAGCTTCAAACCTCAATAGTAATTTTTAAACAGTTTTAACACACTCTACAGTCATCAGGTAAAATCATTTTAACCATTATCTACAGCTTCAAACCTCAATAGTAATATTTAAACAGTTTTAACACACTACAGTCATCAGGTAAAATCATTTTAACCATTATCTACAGCTTCAAACCTCAATAGTAATTTTTAAACAGTTTTAACACACTCTACAGCCATCAGGTAACATCATTTTCACCATTATCTACAGCTTTAAACCTCAATAGTAATATTTGAACAGCTTTAACACACTCTACAGCCATCAGGCTACATCGGTTTAACCATTATCTACAGTTTTAAACCTCAATAGTAATATTTAAACAGTTTTAACACACTCTGCAGCCATCAGGTAACATAATTTTCTCCAGTATCTACAGCTTTAAACCTCAATAGTAATATTTAAACAGTTTTAACACACTCTACAGCCATCAGGCTACATCGTTTTAAACCATTATATACAGCTTCAAACCTCAATAGTAATTTTTAAACAGTTTTAACACACTCTACAGTCATCAGGTAAAATCATTTTAACCATTATCTACAGCTTCAAACCTCAATAGTAATTTTTAAACAGTTTTAAACACACTCTACAGCCATCAGGTAACATCATTTTCACCATTATCTACAGCTTTAAACCTCAATAGTAATATTTGAACAGCTTTAACACACTCTACAGCCATCAGGCTACATCGGTTTAACCATTATCTACAGTTTTAAACCTCAATAGTAATATTTAAACAGTTTTAACACACTCTACAGCCATCAGGTAACATAATTTTCTCCAGTATCTACAGCTTTAAACCTCAATAGTAATATTTAAACAGTTTTAACACACTCTACAGCCATCAGGCTACATCGTTTTAACCATTATATACAGCTTCAAACCTCAATAGTAATTTTTAAACAGTTTTAACACACTCTACAGTCATCAGGTAAAATCATTTTAACCATTATCTACAGCTTCAAACCTCAATAGTAATTTTTAAACAGTTTTAACACACTCTACAGCCATCAGGTAACATCATTTTCACCATTATCTACAGCTTTAAACCTCAATAGTAATATTTGAATAGCTTTAACACACTCTACAGCCATCAGGCTACATCGGTTTAACCATTATCTACAGTTTTAAACCTCAATAGTAATATTTAAACAGTTTTAACACACTCTACAGCCATCAGGTAACATAATTTTCTCCATTATCTACAGCTTTAAACCTCAATAGTAATATTTAAACAGTTTTAACACACTCTACAGCCATCAGGCTACATCGTTTTAACCATTATATACAGCTTCAAACCTCAATAGTAATTTTTAAACAGTTTTAACACACTCTACAGTCATCAGGTAAAATCATTTTAACCATTATCTACAGCTTCAAACCTCAATAGTAATTTTTAAACAGTTTTAACACACTCTACAGCCATCAGGTAACATCATTTTCACCATTATCTACAGCTTTAAACCTCAATAGTAATATTTGAACAGCTTTAACACACTCTACAGCCATCAGGCTACATCGGTTTTAACCATTATCTACAGTTTTAAACCTCAATAGTAATATTTAAACAGTTTTAACACACTCTACAGCCATCAGGTAACATAATTTTCTCCATTATCTACAGCTTTAAACCTCAATAGTAATATTTAAACAGTTTTAACACACTCTACAGCCATCAGGTGATATCAGTTTAACCATTATCTATAGCTTTACACGTCAACAGCAATATTATGCTGTATTGTTCAGAATGTTTGATTGGTCAGTCAGTAAAACAATAGTCCAAGTGTGTTTTTGCAAATGTAAGATGAGAATTAATGTTTCTTTTGTTTAGTAGTGTTTTCAGGAATAGTTGGAACCAGGATGAGGAAGAGCCAGGATTGGGTGGAGCCAGGACAAAGTGGAATCATGAACAAGTGGAGTCAGGGTTGGTGCAAGCATTAAGTGTAGCCATGATGAGGTGGAGACAGGACAAAGTGGATTCAGGAAGAGGTGGTGCCAGGATGAAGTGGAGCTAGGGTTAGGATGCAAGAGTAGGTGGAGCCCAGATGAAGCCAGGATGAGGTGGAATCAACTTTAATTAACATTGTACTAAAATTAAGGTGGCATACAACAGCACTAAATTTAACATGGCACAGAATTTAAGGTGGAACTTCAATTAAAATGGCATTAATTTTAAGGTGGAACTTCTTCTAAGGTAGCACTGAGTTTACACTGACACTGAAATTAAGGTGGAACTGCATTTATGTTAGCACTGAACTTAAGGTGGAATTTTAATTAACATAGCAATAAAATTGAGGTGGCACAAAATTAAAGGTGGAATTTCTTTTAGGGTGGCACCGAATTTAAAATGGAACTCTTTTTAAGGTGGCAATAAATTTAAGGTGGAACTGCAATTACCATAGCACTAAATTTAAGGTGGCACAGAATTTAAGGTGCGACTTTCTTTAAGGTGGCACAGAATTAAAGGTGGAACAGGAATTAACATAGCACTGAATTTCAGGTGTCACAGAATTTGAGTTGGAATTTCAATTAACATAGCATTAAATTTAAGGTGGAACCACTATAAACA